TTACAGATAAAAGAAAATGTGATAACTATATGTTTTATATACTACAGAATACTATCCCAACATAGAAGAGTGAAACCCTGTCATTCCCAACCATACTGATGAAACTGGAGCTCATTCTGCTAAGTGACATAAGAGAGACACAGAAAAACAAGAAGCAGAAGATTTCCTTCTAACGTGGAATCTAAAAAGTTGATGTCATAGAAGGTGAGAGTAGAGAGCTGTCGCCAGAGAATCAGAAGTGTAGAGGAGAGGAGGGACGTAGAGAGTCTCACTGGAGATGATCACTACTCACTTCTGAACAAGGAAATTAGCAACTGGGAGAAAGTGTCACAATTCCTGTGGGTTCTCAGGCTTGTATTTCTCTTGTCTCCAAATTTGAGGTGATAATGCACTCTCAGGGCAATGAGGTCACTGAATTTCAAAGCTTGATATCACAGTCTGGTTGCCTCCCTCCCACACCCACACATGCTGCCTGGGTCTGCACACTGCATCCACCATCTTGGCACCAGGAATGAGTGAGGTAAGTGTGTTCAGCTTCCTTAGAGAGGTAGGGTCAGTGAGAGAAGGGGATCTATTGGAGCAACAGTGAATGTTCATGTCAGGAAAATGGATTCTTCTAGGAGGAAACAAATCCAGGGAGGAAGTACTGCCAGAGGGAAGAATAGGTCCTGAGACATGAGTGAGTTGAGCTTGTAAAGAGTGAAGGTTATTAGGACTTACTTCAATCTCCTTGGCTTCTGCTCTAATGGCATGAATGCATCATTGGTGTCTCCTGAACCTAGTGTTTATTTCAAGAGATAAACAAATTAGATTTTCAAGCGCTTTAGGCTGACAAAGTCAATCTGAAAACATTCTGCTGTGTATTTTCTATTACAGGAAACAGAGAAAATATTCAAGGTTACTAGAAGTACATCTCTAACATTGCCACATTCATGGTAAAAGCAGAATGGGTCTGTAGAGCCATCCGATACCATGTAGAAACTGTGTCTAACTAGCACAGCGGTGGCTGGGATGGAGGAGCTGTCTCTGACTCTGGGCCTATGAGCTCCAGAAAGAAGGGAAGGTGTCTCCACAGAAACACTGGTGCTCTCAGAACAGCTGTGAGACTCCTCTGTCCCCAGAAGCCAGAGCAGCTGCCTTCCACATTAAATATTATACAGCATACATTTTAATATATTTAACCAATTAAAATTCATTCATAGATTCTCTTTTATAACTAAAAATCGATAGTAATATAATTCACATTAGATATTAAATACATAAGCATATGATTTCAAAATTTAGTTGTTCCTTATACTATCTTGTCACATATTGGGTTTTCATATCTTAGTTTCATGGCATAACATAATGTTATTTGATAATTTCTATAATGAGTGCATTTGTTTTTTTCTCTGACATACACACAAATAATTTTACCTGAAGTCTTTCTAATGTTAAGCCAATCTTTCTTTGATTAAATCCACACAAAACAGGGCATTCAGTGGTATGGTATTATGTGCATTCAGTGTATAATCATTATATGGATCTCAAAATTTTATTAATATTTGATATTTTGCTGCAGAATAAATATCTACCCCAGGCGACAAAATTGTGAAATAGATTTCCACGAAAGTAAAACCAAATGAGCAGACATAGAAAGTGCTGTAAACACAGGTCTGCCTCAGGAGAAGCACAGCCGACCTGTCTCCTGAGTTTAGCACAGCGTCAGGACACTGCCTTTGTGACCAGCTGGGAACTGTTCCATCCCCGCTCTGTCCCTGTCATGACAGCCAATTGAATCAAATCTCTGAGCTTCTCTATACTAAAGGAGCCTCATCTTTCAAAAGAAATGAACAGTAGCTCCTGCTCCAGAGATTTGT